ATATGATTCTTCACAATTACGATAGTTTTCCGTTTTTTTATGAGCTTTTTTAATCAGATTTTTTGAGATTTTCGTTTTGATTATAAAAGATAAATTTCTATTAAAGGTTTTGATTGGATTGAAATATTTACATATGTTAAAACACATGTCTATATTGTTTTATTTTAATTATATAAGATAAAATATCTTTAAAACGCAAGAAACCAATAAATATAATTTTTTTTATAAATAATTTCGAAATTCGAACCTATACCTTATTTTCTGTGGAACCGGAGTTAATGGTTAGTCTATTCTATTCGAGAATATTCATCCTCCCAAAGAAATTGATCTATACAAACAATGGAACCAACTCCAAATGCAAAAAGAAAAAGATTAAGACCATATCACATCTAATAACTTATAAGGATAAGTTGTGGTAGGATATTAGAAGCATTTCCAATATATATTGGAATGGTTAAAACAAATTAGAGATAATGGAAGAAGATTAAGTCCATATAAGTGTGTTTTTATATATAAATTAATTGATCTTATAACAAAATCCAGACTAATCGCACGCATTATATATGAAGAAAAATCAGATATTAGTATCGTTTAAAACGTCTAGTATGGTGGATAATGCAAATCCACATTACAAAAGTTTATTTAATCGTCTGAAACTTATTAAGAAAAGTAATAGAGTATCACAAAGAGAAACGCAAAAGCAACATGACAAAAGTTTAGTCACTCACTAGTCGACTATAAATTTGTTATGCCATATAAAATATTTCTCAAACTAAAGTCATTTATACGGTTATATCAACTCATTATTTGCATAAATAATATGCTATAATTAACCATATATTAAAACAAACATTATAGTTGCATCTTGTAGATATTGTTTCATTCTTTGACGACCAAAAAAAAAAGTACTAGTAGATATTGTTTCATACTTTCATCCCACCTAGAAAAACAGTTCACACCCTAAACGAAGATAGAAGGCATATAAAAGACACTTTATTTTCGAATTAAATAAAACTTTTGGACAACAAATCAAAGAGCAAGAAAGTTACACTGTACCAAATTTTGTATCTTTAATGGCTCTAGAGAGTCGAGCTCGTGCATGTAGACACACATTCATCCGTCGATATCATTTGTTTTATTAAATGATAAAGGGTGTAAATGGTAGTCAAATTTCGAAATATCTGAAATAAAATGAATTAAAAGAAACGGAATAGAGGTGAATGAAATAATGACAGTTAGATGAATAAGATGAATGGAATAAATAATCGCAGACAAATATTTATACAAGATGAATGGTGTTATTTTAAAGGG